TTTGCTCACTCTATCGTTCTTAGTAGTGTGCGGTGAGGTGCGGGTTGGAGACTTTGCCGTTGGCCAAGGTTGAAGACTTATCGTCTCTCTTTCTCCCTCTCCTTGGTCGAATCGTGAACGTCTCACACACACACACTCCATCGATAGGACAAGCAAAATCGGAATGAATCTTCTGCTGAATCGGGGAAATATACACTGCCACTTTTTGATTTACTCGTTCTATTGATCCAAGCAGTGTGCGGCGAGCCGCGGGTGGGAGACTTGGCTGTTGGCCAAGGTAGGAGACTTATCGTCTCTCTCTCCCCCTGTCCTTGGTCGAATCATGAACGTCTCACACACACACACACACATGCACGCACGCACCTGTGTTGAACCCGAGATGGTAGCGTACGATCCCATACGCGCACTCACGCACGACAGTGTATACTCCCATGTTTTTGTGGTAAATACATTCGTTTTAGCTCACTGGGAGTAGCGGGAGGGTCAGTTGCGAGATTGGGGACCTACCTGATCTCTCTCTCTCTCTCGCCCTTGTCTCCGCCGTCTTCGTTGATGCCGTAGTCTCACAACGCAATGTGATTCGTCACGAAGTGTAGGACACCGAGGTGATAGCACTGGGACACGACTGACACACGTGTGCCTTCCAACAGAACGAGCGGGTAGTGAATCCGTGCTCACGATGTCGCCGACATCGACTATTTCGACGTAGGTGAGTCGCTTCCTTCTTCCTTCCTCCTCTCCTTTCCTTCTTCCTTCCTCGACTCCTTCCTCCTACTTCCTTCCTCTTTTACCTTATTCCTCTCACATCCCCGTGAGTACCCTGGCTCAAGATAGCATCCCAACAGAGTGGTGAGGACCTCGAACCACAGGCCGCGATACGAAAAAAGCGTTGTCCTTATTTGCTCACGCTAGCTTCCTACCTGTTTCCCTGCCGCTATCTCGTGCATGCACGAACTCTTACGACGGCTTGCTGCCTTCGCTCACGCGTGCATTCTCAGCGCTGCTCGCTTATGGTGCTTGCGCCCCCATTCGTGTTTTGTTCGCGGTCCGCACGCATTAGGTGGTCGTGTTCTTCCCTCGTGCTTTCATTCACAGTTTCATCGTCTGCCCAACTTGGAGTCTCCCCTTCGCGTTCTGGTCCTGCGAGCATCTTCTTGACTCGTCAGGGCCCGCCATCTATCCTCGCTACTTCCCCTTTCGTTAGATGAACCTGCCCCCTAAGCCGGTGTAGATACTTCCCTTGTAAAAAAAAGAAATTGGGAGTTCGAGAAGCAATAGAAAAATAAATAATAATAATAATAAAAATAACAATAATAATAATAATATTAATAATAATATTAATGATCAAAATTATAATTATCCCTCATAGCTCCTCGCACCGCATCTTCCCTTTTTCCATCGGAAGATTCACTCCCCGAGTTGTTGGTTTCTTTTTGTACGTGGTACGCAGTTCCTTGATAGAAAACGAATGAATCTCTCAGCTTTTATGGGGTTTATTCGAAGTGGTAGCTCATAGCTCGTGCAGAATCTGAAGAAAAAAAAGAAAAAAGAAATATATATATATATATATGTAAAGTACCGAATCTAACGGGAAAAAAAAAAAAAAAAAAAACTTAACTAATTTACAGTTTTTGTGCCCCGTCTGCCAACTGTCGGCTACTGCTACGGGAAGGAGCCCAAATCAACTGACCCCAACCGCTCCCATCGTCTTGAGGTCACGGGATCGAGTTCTGTTTCCTCAAGGTAGTCCGAAGTGGTGGTCAGTCGGGCTGCAAAAAGAGCTAGCCCGAGAGAGGATGGACTTGATCCCTGAATCCCTGACATATCAATCCGCACCTGTACCTACTGGGCTAGTTCCTAGCTCGGTTAAGATGGGAGCAGCCTTACTATAAGTAAGGTACAGGCTGGTTCCGTCGGTGTAACAGCCCCTCAGCCTGTTATCTAATGCTAGTTTACTGACGTATCTCGTTGCTTTAGCCGGGACCTAATAACTCGGTGTGCCGTCGTCACATCCCGTGCGACTTCCTTCTTGTTAGACTAACCTTCCGTCTTCTGTGGTCGACGGTTTTAATTTACTAACCCCTTTCCAGTCTTTGCGCGGGTCAAAGTGGCGCGCGTGGTCATTCAAATATTTAACCCACTAACCTTTACCGTCTCTGCGTCCTTCACGACAAAACAAGCGAGCATTAAAAAAAAACTTTAACCACTGGCTCTAGTTCGAGCGCGCCGCGTTTCGGCGTTTTTACTTGCAAAACTTTCTCGACCATGGCAGTCGAGGGATTTGCCTCATTTCCCGTTTTTAGCCGTCTTCAGCTTGTCTGTTGGTGCCGACGTTGTGCCGACCATAAAATCATGGGCAGATACCCTTGTAAGGGTATCAACTCCAACAACGCTACCTGGTCTACATCTCATCTTGACTGAGCTTTGTGCGAAGCCGCACTGACTGTATGAACAGTATCTATGCATGCAATGTGATACACTCCAGCAAGTTGTGAACAGTCGGGGTCCTTGCAATGGATTGAATTGACTCATTTGATAAACTAGAAAACATTTTGCAAAATACAAATAAACTAAATGAGTTTTGCCTACGAGTGTAATGAAAGTTCTTTGTGAGATAATATTGAATTTAAATTATATATCTATAGGTGATGAGTCGGTGAAATTCCGGCAAGACAATTTGTCACAGTCGCTTTCGTTTGTTGTCATTTTCTCCCTCTCTGCCTACGGTTTATCGGACAACTCTGTTTGACGATATATAGATTGGATATATACATCCTTTGATGATCGTACATATGCACAAAATCCACATATCTTTTTTTTTATTATTACTTTTGGGGTGATGGAGAAGTATAGCAGCCCTATGGAGGCATGGTATGTTGTGTTTCCTTTTAGTATAATTTTTGTGATTTCCCTCTTTTTGTGGTGAATCAGGTGAAGAGACCTTGACAAAACGAATCAAGGTGTCAAAACGGTCAAATATTCCTCACATACGAGATCGTGATGAACAAGAGCAAGCTGTCAATGCGCACCCTGTGGTAAGTGTTTACCAACAGCTTAGGCCCTGTTGCCCCAGACCTCCGTCTATCTATAATTGTTGCAGCCTAAATGACTGAATAGAGTACTGGTATAAGAAACACAGCCCCCAATATAGCACAATGCCGGTTTGGCATGACACGGCGGGATCCGAGCATGCTACATGGACTGACTTGCTTCAACCATCTGACATTGTCGGCAGATACATATTTGTTTAGTTCTCTATGTGAAAGAAGAGTAGTGATTGCTGATATGTACTTCTTGAAATGAATGCACGATATGTAGTTTTCTTTATAGTGGGTGATAGCTAATATACCTACGCTTTGAAATCAACGATCTCTAGCTATTGACAACCCACATTTACCCACATGTGTACCAAACTAAAGATCTATAGGGTTTCCCAGAGCCGTAGGCTGATCAAGAACTTCTATTGTTTTTTCGTTCTCAATGTGACAGTTGACACTCTATTAGGAAAGACACTATGTTAGCACTGCCTAGTTTTAACTTTAGCCCGATCACAGAGACGATCCGGTAGTTGAGAAGGTAGTTCATTGTTCTTGTAGGGATTTTATATCATAACGCTTATCTGACATCCATTTTTTTGTGATTCTTGCTTTGATGCTCAATATGCAGAAAGCCAACTATCAATCAACAGACGATGATGACTTTTGGGATGAACCTACTGTTTTGGAGGCTGTGGAACAAGCTGAGAAATCCTCAACAAATTCAGTAAGTTTTGAGTCTATCCTATGTGTAATTCAAAACTAGCCTGCTGCTTTGCTGCATTGGGGTTTGGGGAAGATTATCATCTGTCCTCTCCTTTCGCACACTTTTGTTTCGGGAACCTTTATATATTTGTCTCCTTTGATGGTTTGTTATAAGCCACTGCCTCTGAGCCTGTTTTAGTTTTTGGAAATTTCATTACCCATTTGCCGGGACTGGGTTCCATTCCACTTTTATTTTCGGGTACTGATACGAAAAAAAAAGAAACTTAATTCATCACACCAGTCGCTTTTCAAAAAAATAAAAAACAAAATAAAAAAAGCAACAACGTTATAGAGTTGTTTTGCAGTTGGATAAAAAATCTTTAATACGTGAGGGAGTGTGTCCTTTGTCAGGGTGTTACAACCATGCGGTCATCAGGGCTGTTGCTTCTAAAAATATAAATGAAAAAAAAACGCGATACCTTCATGACCGTGAAAGCAGTTGGACACAGAATCGGTAGTATATGTGAGACTATGCCCATTAGTTCATAGATTGCTGTTTGCCCTGTTGGTAGGGCATGATCAACAAAATAAAATAAAAGAAAGACAAAAAAACAAAAATATGAAACTAACTCTGATCGAAGTCGGATACATTCCTAGATATACTGGTGTGAGCAAACCTTGTTCTCAGCCTTCCCCAACGTTGTTCTTGTCTACACACCTGCTTCCCCCCCCCCCTACCCCCCCCCTTGAACGCGCTGACAGCCCATAGGCCATCGAACCTGTCCTCGACCCCAAAAAGTTTAGGAAAAATGGGAAAGTGACAATTTTTTCATTCTTCCCAGCTTTGTTTTAAACCACCAGTACATGGCCCCAGACAATGGGAGAACCAATTTTGAGCCTCTCCAAAAATTTAGGAGGCCGAGCGCTGTAAATAAAATAAATCGGTGGCAGGCGGCCTCCACAAGGGGTCCGTGGTCGATAGCTGACATGTACTGGTGGTTTAACGAGAACAAATGAAAAGACGTGGGTTTGACACGGTTTCTCAGGCGAAGGATGTTATTGAGGGTGTCAAGTCACTAGATAATTAATTGTGTCCAATTGTTTTGGCGTGTGAGTTATAGAAGCTTGCATATTTTTAACTTCACCCCGAGCACAAGAAAGGTTTGTGGTAGTTGAAAAGGTAGTACATTGTTGTTGTAGGGATTTGGTATTATAAGTTATAACGCTTAATATTTTTTTTTTTTTTTTCTTGTTATGATGCTTGATATGCAGGAAGTCAACCATCAGTCAACAGATGATGATGTTTGGGTTGAACCTGCTGTTTTGCGGGTTGTACAAGAAGCTGAAAATTCCTCTGCAAAACCGGTAAGTTTTGAGTCTATGTGTAATTCAAAACTAACTCGATATTCTGACGAATTGGATTTTCTTTGGGAAGTCCCTCCACACACTATGCATATTTGCATCATTTGAGGAATTGTTATTTTCATAATATCTATTCTACATGTTAAAGTTTATCAACCCCAAATGTCGTGGTCCTCTTTCTATCGCCCGATTGTTTCATCGCGTGGCTGAGGTTTCTTCTCAAACGCTACCTTTGGTTGACAGCTGGTGCTAGGAATGGTGGACGGGCAGATCGTGAGAAGCAGTAGATGAAAAAATATGTGCAGATGGATTGTGAGTGAGTGATAACGTGTGTCAGAATACATAAGGGATTCTCAGTATTCGGAGTTGTGTTTCACACGTGCAAATGAATGAGGTCGTGTTGTTGGGTTAGTGCACTTAAGAAACAGAATAAAAAAGACACAGAAATGGAAAGAAAGATAAACGAAGGTGTCTGACAGGTTGCGACTAAATGTCACACCGCTGTGGATATTTTGGAGGGACGAAAACGGAAATCAATAGCATGGTGGCTAAAATTAAATCGCACAAATCTCCGAAACGAATCTTGTCCCACAAACTTTTGAAATGCTTAATATATATATATTTTTATTCTTGTTATGATGATTGATATGCAGAAAATCAACCATCAGTCAACAGACGATGATGATTTTTGGGTTGAACGTGCTGTTTTGCGGGCTGTGCAAGAAGCTGAGAATTCCTCTGCAAAACCAGTAAGTTTTGAGTCTATCCTTTGTGTAATTCAAAACTAGCTTGTTGTTCTGACGGATTGGATTTTCTTTGGGAAGTCCTTCCACAAACTATGCATATTTGCATCCTTTGAGGAATTGTTATTTTCATAATATGTACTCTACATATTAAAGTTTATCAACCCAGATGTCGTAGTCCTCTTTCCATCGCCTGATTGACACCTGGTGCTAGGAATGGTGGACGCGGGGATCGTGAGAAACTGTAGATAAAAAAACATGTGCAGATGGATTGTGAGTGTGTGATAACATGTGTCAGAATACATAAGGGATTATGAGTATTCAGGGTTGTGCTCACACGTGCAAATGAATGAGGTCATGTTGCTGGGTTAGTGCACTTAAGAAACAAAATAAAAAAGACTCAGAAATGGAAAAAAAGAAAATCAAAGGCGTATGACAAAATGCCACACCGACGTGGATATGTTGGAGGGGCAAAAATTAAAATTAATAGCATGGCGGCCAAAATCAAATTTTAAATCTCTGAAACGAATCTTGTCCCACAAACTTTTGAAATATAGACCTGAGTTCAAATCCTGCATATTGAAGCCGATAGCCATTGCTAGAAAGACACATTGGTCGCACGGCAGGTGACTCAGACCGAAATTCGAATCGTAGGACAAAGAAAAAGGGAAGGGTGCGCAGAAGAAGACCGACGTTTGGAGCCCCATCTGGATACGAAAAGAATTGTTGGGCCGCAGATACCACCTGATAAGAAAAGTATGGCACGCTCGTCGGCAAGAGGGGAAGAGCTGGGGCCGTTGGGAAACATGCGGTAGGGGCGTCGGCAGGCGGGGAGGAGAGGGTCATTGGGAAATATGTGCCCGGGAGCAGGGGCGGCTGGGAAAAGTGTGGATGGGTCAGTTGATAGGTGGGTAGAAGCGGAGGCTAGTAGATGGAAGGCTTGGGGGGGAAGGGGGCCTGCACTTCAATCTGGTCAAATGCAGTTATGGAAGGAGGGAGGAGGATGGAGGACGAGGAGCAGGGATACGGAGGAGTGGTGAGGACTCTGAGGAGTGAGGAAGAGGGAGGAGGATAGAGGATGAGGAGCAGGGATGAGGAGCGATAAGGAGGGAGGAGGATGGAGGACAATAACAACAATCGTAGAGGAAGGAGGACAGAGGATGCAGGCGAGAGACGGATTAGGAGGGAGGAACAGGGGGGAGAACGAGGGAGGAGGAGGAAGGATGAGGGAGGAGGAAGACCATTACAAAAGGAGGGGGAGGAATGATGGACAAAAGTGCAGGGGGAATGGAGGGGGGAAGATAAGGGAAGAGGACGGAGGTTGGAGAGAGGAGGACAAAGGAGGTGGCGATGAAGGGAGGAGGGACGACGTAGATTGAGACACACATTGATGGTGAGAAGAACAACCGGCGCCTACCTACTTTACAAACCTACAGAGAGTTGTGGAGGGGGAGAATGACGATGACGAGATGAGGAACGACATAGATTGAGACACGCATTGATGGTGAGAAGGCCAACTGGCGCCCAACTATGTTACAAACATGCAGAGAGTTGTGAAGAAGGCGCACCAACGAACTATGGACAGAATTAAGGGTAGCAACCTAAAAATTGTTGTTGAGAGAGAGATAAGGAGGGTGGGAGAATTCCAGGGTGGCAGGCTGATTTTTACCTTTTTTTTTGTCAAAATGACATTAAATTTGGAGGCCACAGACTTTATGAGCAAGGAAATCACCAAAAGAAAAATCAAACAAGAAAATATGAAACCTACAAAATGACTTCAGTAGGTTGCTAACTTGCGAATATGTAGGTCTCCTGAATCGCCAGAATGCTCTGAACGTGGGAATGGTTAAACCCCCCTGAATATTTGGCCCAATAATACTGTACCCAAGTGTTTATTTGTTTTAGATTGTTTTTGCTCTGAATGTCATTTCTTGAGAAACGGTTCAACTGTTCGTTTTTATATGAGCGATAGGATGAGGGAAACTGACCAGCTATGTGATGCGGGTGAAGCCATACCAAGCCTTCTTGTGCTATAATTTATACTTTGGACTCTGAACAATTATTTTGTGTTTTTGAACAGGTGCGGGTGAAAAGGCCTGAGTGTTTGACAACATTTTCTAAGGCGAACGATGCTATTCAGTATGCAAAGTCATTGGACAGTGAATTATGTCCAGTTGTTTTGGCGTGCGAGTTGCAGAAGCCTTGATATAGATTCAAATACTATGTTTCACCTTTGGAGCAGTTTTTGCTAAGCTATGCACGCATGGAGATGGAGAACAGGCAGTATTATGAGTTAATTCCACCCGTGAGTTGACAAATCCCTCACACAATGTTTTTTTCTTTGTCGGATATCATTATGATTATATGTTTGGATACAAACTTCGACTTTGAACAACTTTAAACACATTGTGAGGTACATAAGAAGACACAACACACACAGAGCTCTGAAGCCAGGTTCACCCCTCTGGTTTCCTCAAACAAAAAACATCATTTTTCTTTGCATTTTGCATTTGTGAACCATTACAACTTCTCGTTTTTCCATAATAGAGCACAGTTGCACTGATCCTGCTTGCAGGTTAAATATATTCAATAAATTCAGAAACAGAGATAAAGAATACTGGCTGATTTCCTTTTCGTGGCTCTCGTTTGCTTCAAAATTGTTGTAATTCAGGAAAGCAAATGTCATCTTTATTTTGACCTTGAGCTCTATCCAGAAAGTAATTCTACCAAAGACGGCAGCACGATGGTCGAAACATTACTCTCTGTTGTCAGAATGATGTTTTCTTCTGAATTTGAAGGAGTTCATGGTTTGCAAGAGACCTAAATTTTGGAAACTGATTTCTCCCGGAAAGGTAAGTCATACGTTTATGGATGTTGTGCTTGGGCTAAAAAAACTATGAGAAAATTTTACAAATTTTGTTCAATGTGTAGATGAGACCGTTGTATTCAAATCTGTAGTTTTTATCCATAACTGATAAATCACTAATGTTGAACACATGTTTTTTGTGCTAAACAGAGAAGTTTTTGAGATATTTGCTTTTGAAGATACAAGGTGTTATTTTTGCCAACAATCGTTTAGTTCTAGACTTTGTTCAGAAGGTGAGTATTGTTTGTTAACCTAATTGTCTCTCCTATTTGTTAATTTTTATTTGAGTTCAGGTTACTAGAATGGCCGTCGACCACTTGCCTCTCCAGATATAGAAAGTAAACAAGAAATCCCCCCCCAAAAAACTAGCTTACCTGGGTGGACATCTGGGAGCCGATCGAATGCTCGGGATGTTCAAGCGGATAATCAGCCTAAATGTCTAGTCCGATATAATTGCAGTTGTAGTATTGACTGCTGCAGGGACAACAACAATCATTGTTGCATGACTAATTGCAGCACTTGTTGCAGTTCTTCAGACAGGAATAGTTGTTGTTGCTACAACTGCAGCATTGACTGCTGCAGAGATAGGGAGAGAAACAATCATTGCCGAAGTTGTTGTTGTTATTACTCCAACTCCACCGACATCTGAAATCTTTGTTGTAAAAGTATATGCAGAACTAGTGGAAGTATACATTTTTTTCTTTCGTTTCTTTTATTTTTTTGGTTTCTTTTGTTTCTTTTGTTTCTGTGTCTTTTTATTTTTTTCGTGTATTTTGTTTCTTTTTTGCCCTTTTTCTGCTTTCCTCCAGCAATTTGTTGTTTGTGGAGCTTGTTTTATTCGACTTTTGTAGAATGTGCATCTTTCATTCCGATTTCTCGTTCTACCACTTGTGTCTCTATCAATACCAGAACGTAGTGTTCAGGTTGCGGTCCTGGAAGAACCAGCCCTGACCCACCTCCCTGTTGTACTTCTGATTTTTTCCCCCATTGCAACTGCCCATTTTTTTTTTGCCCTTAGCTGGTTCGGGTACTGATGAGGCTCAAACGTTGGGACATTGAAGTCTGTGTTGAAACGTTAGTGGGAGGTGAGAGGGATGGTTGGAAGCTTGTGAGTTCTATAAGAGTTCTTTCGAGGTTAAATCCTAGTAGGTTGAGATGAGGGAGAGGTGGTTAGAGTTATAATGGAGTACGTATTGGTTGTTGTCATCCCTTATCAGCATCGCAAGGTCATACCATTGAGCTTAGAAACTACTGGACACGAAAAATTGCTCCACACCTAATGAAAAAGGTCATGGTTGCGGTTAACGGAGACCCTAATTTTCAGACAACTTGTCATGCCATCTGTTAGTAAGGAGCTGAAACTGGGGGTCCTCGTTAACCACTTGTGCGGGTTCAAGTTGTAATAGAGTACGCATTGTTTGTTGCTATCCCATATGGACATGACAGGGTCCTACTGTATCCAGATTTGAAGATATAAGATACGAAAATTTTAATTTATTGAGCATAGCAGATGAAGTTTTTAGGAATTCCAAATTTAATTTTACATGTGTCTTGAAGGTGTCCCAACAGACAAAGGTATCACTTATTATTATAACATTAAATTTTTGATGTGTGTTCCTCTCTTTTGCTGGAACTTTTACATGTGTGCACGTACATCGAACGCAACAGGAAGAGGTGTCAAGCATATGATGAGCTTTATGTTGCCACTTCAAAGGGGAACCATCTTTTCATTGCCACAAATGTTTATAAGCAAAAGCAGCTAATGAGACTCTCATTTTCAAGGGATGTCATCGTTCTTGATTCCAACAGGGCGTTTCGAGACATCATTCACAGTACAAAACACATATTTTTTGCATGCTCTTTGTGTGTTTTTGTAGGTCAGTTTGATATTGCAACTTTTCAAAACCTAACCTTTTTTTTTTGCCCTCGTCTCTGTTTCGTGTATTGCAGATTGATAATTTTTTGGAGCTGAAAAAACAAAAAATCACTGAGTTCAGTTGCCAAAGTAAGGGATCCGAAGAAAGTTGTTGCCCTCCGAGTTCGGAGAGTTGTGCAGCGCTTGCCAGCACTTTGCCTGAACAGGTGAAATGCACAGAAACCCAAGTTTCGAGCCCCATAATATCTATATGTGGCATCAATCTCCCCATGATTTTTTGGCCTTGTAATTATAGGCCTAAATTGAAAATTGTTGCTATGTATTTTTGTGATTTTTCCAGGTTGGCACAACCGAAGATATTTTTGCACAATTACCAACTCACATTCGAGATGTCTAAAGTCTGTTTGAGCATTTTGCTCTTCGTGGTGGACCTCAGAATCTGCGTTCGTCACCCTTCCGTGAACTCGACAATTTTATGATTTCGCTCCCAAGACAACACGTTCTACCGAAGAAAAAAATGTGAGGTTTAAGACAATTTCTTAATGTTTTAATTCATTATCTATAATTGTTCATTCTAGTGAATCAAACCTTTTAAGACTACATTTTAATGTATGTGTGGCAATATAACGTTCAGGGTTTGCTTCTGTGCAGGTTTTCCTTGCAAGTGTGTGCATGGTCTGTTCAAGGCGATATGTTTGTATGGATGGTTCACAGTTTTGGTTGGTTTAGTAACTTTTCCAGGCTATATCTGTCCATACCCTAACAAGTGAACATATTCAGCTAGAAGAGAGGTAAAGAAGACTCAAGGACGACCTTTTGCGCATTTAGTAAGAAAAAAAAATAAGGCATTCATTAATGGTTGTTTCCTGTGGCTTTCTCGGGAGCCCGTGCTCATGTCTCTTTGTATTCTATTTTTGCATCTCAAAGCTCTCATGGATATTATTGCCTCTTGCTTGAGTTCTGCAGTATCACCTGACCAAGATCGTGACACTTACATAGAACGTGGTGTGTTTTTTCTGTGTTTTTTTGTGGACAGGTGGCATACGCAAAGTCACATTGTACCCTAGAGAATGGAACGTCGTGTTCCATCTACTAGGAATGCGATTTTGCAGCTTTGTTGGAAGACAACATTTGAGGAATACTTGTGAGTTTCAGTTTTTGGGGAAGGCTATAAGATTTTTTTTTTTTTTCCATGTGTTTCTTAAATTTTTCGATATGAGTCTCGTTTCAAATATATTTTTGAGAAGAAGGGTCAAGTTGTCATCGCACTGGAAGAGTAGCGACTATGATGTAAGATGAAGAATGTGTCGTTTCCACGTGTACAATTTTGAATTTTATTACGGTTCTGATTTTCATGTGTATAATTCTGATTGTTGGGTTTCTTTCGTCTCAGTCATGTGTGTGGTAAATTGCGGATCAAGAAGGTGTCATCTCAAGTGTCATGACACCGAATGTAAAGGTATGAAAAATATATTAGTAACAATTTTTTTCATTCTCTCTCGAAAAAATCTAAGTTTCCTTACTGTTCAGGGTGTAGGGTTTAAGCAGAGAGAGCTCCAAGGGGCCTCCAAAAAAAAATTGCATACACATAACGTCTGGACCTGTGTTACAACAGATGAGGTTCCCAACCAATCAAGTAAAGCAATCATTTCGCTCAAGTATCTAGCACCACACATTCATTAGATGAGAGCCTCAAACAAAAGACATTCGCATTGTAATTTTGTAATACGTTTTTTTATTGTTTTATTGTTTTTTTGTTGATCCTAAATGGAACCTTGAGTGGCGTTCATATCCAACGGACATCTAGGCAGGTATCCAGGCACAAGTTGGTTGCCCGGGCATGCAAACAAATTGGGACTCATGGGACGCAGGCTCGGCAAAACTCAGAATGCTGTGATTTTGTTCTTTCCGTGAGAGTACAGAAAAAAAAATTGAAGTGGGACTCATAGGACAGGTGAAAATGGTGGAAACGGTGAAAGACCCTCTTGTAATCCTGACAACATGCATACAACACGCCTCTCAACTTTCTGAAAGTTTTGAGAAGGTGAATACATTGGGAACGCAGAAAAACTCTTCCACTCTCGACATCCCATCTACGCAAATAGAAAAAGGGGATATATATTTTTTTGAAAATTCTGAGCAGGTGAACATGCTGGAAATGGTGACAGACCCTCCTGTAGTCTTGACAACATACATAGAACACCCCTATCAACTTTCTGAAAGTCTTGAGCAGGTGAATACCTTGGAAATGCCGAATGACTTTTCCACTCTCGACATCCCATCTACGCAAATAGAAAAAAGAGATATACTTTTTCTGAAAATTCTCAGCAGGTCAACATGTTGGAATTGGTGAAAGATCGTCTTGTAGTCTTGACAACGTACATAGAACACCCCTCTCAACCTTCTAAAAGCACTAAGCAGGTGAATACTTTGAAAATGTCGAAGGACTCTTCCACTGTCGACATCCCACCTAAGCAAATAAAAAAAAAGGATATATTTTTTATGAAAATTCTGAGCAGGTGAACATACTGGAAATGGTTAACGACCCTTTTATAATCTTGACAACACAAATATGATAGCTCCTCAAATTTTTGAAAATCCTGAGCAAGTTAACATTTTGGAAACGCCAAAACACTATTTCACTCTCGACATCCCATCTACGCAAATAGAAAAAGGGGATTATGTTTTTATGAAATTTTGAGCAAGTGAACATGCTAGAAATGGTGAGAGACCCTGTAGTCTTGACAACATACATAGAACACCCCTCTCAAGTTTTTGAAAGTCTTCAACATGTGAATATTTTGAAAACGCTGAAGGACTTTTCCACTCTCGACATCCCATCTATGCAAGCGGATATACTTTCTGAAAATTTTGAGCAGGTGAAAATTGTGGAAGCGGTGAAAGACCCTCTTGTAGTCTTAACAACATGCATATAACACCCCTCTCAAATTTTTAGAAGTCCTGAGCAGGTGAATACATCGAAAATTCTGAGTAGGTGTACATGCTGGAAATGGTGAAAGACCCTCTTGTAGTCTTGACAACATACATAAAACACCCCTCTCAACTTTCTGAAAGTCTTGAGCAGGTGAATACCTTGGAAACGCGGAAGGAGTTTTCCACTCTCGACATTCCGTCTAAGCAAAGGGGATACATTTTTTCTAAAAATTCTGACCTGGTGAAAATTGTGGAAACAGCGAATGACCATCTTGTAGTCTTGACAACATGCATACAGCAACACCCCTCTCAACTTTCTAAAAGTTCTTAGCAGGTGAATACATTGAAAATGCAGAAGGACTCTTCCGCTCTCGACCTCCCATCTACGCAAATAGAAAAAGATGATATATATTTTTCTGAAAATTCTGAGCAGGTGAACATGCTGAACATTGTGAAAGACCCTCCTCCTGTAGTCTTGACAACATACATAGAACACCCCGCTCAACTTTCTGAAAGTCTTCAGCTGATGAATACTTTGGAAACGCCAAAGGACTTTTCCACTCTCGACATCTCATCCATGCAAGGGGATATATTTTTTGAAAATTCTGAGCATGTGAAAATGATGGAAACCGTGAAAGACTCTCTTGTACTCTTGACAACATGCATACAACACCCCTCTCAACTTTCTGAAAGTCCTGAGAAGGTGAATTTATTGGAAACGCAGAAAGACTCTTCCACTCTCGACATCTCATCTACGCAAATAGAAAAAGGATATATATTTTTTTCTGAAACTTTTGAGCAGACGAACATGCTGGAAATGGTGAAAGACCCTCCTCATGTAGTCTTGACAACATACATAGAACATCCCTCTCAATGTTCTGAAACTCTTCAACAGGTGAATATTTTGAAAACGCCGAAGGACTTTTCCGCTCTCGACATCCCATCCATGTAAGGGGATATATTTTTTGAAAATTCTGAGCATGTGAAAATGGTGGAAATGGTGAAAGACTCTCTTGTAGTCTTGACAACATGCATACAACACCCCTCTCAACTTTCTGAAAGTTTTGAGAAGGTGAATACATTGGAAACGCAGAGAGACTCTTTCACTCTCAACATCCCATCTACGCAAATAGAAAAGGAGATATATTTTTTTCTGAAATTTCTGAGCAGGAAAACATGCTGGATATGGTGACAGACCCTCATGTAGTCTTGATAACATACATAGAACAGCCCTCTCAACTTTCTGAAACTCTTCAGCAAGTGAATACCTTGGAAACTCCGAAGGACTTTTCCACTCTCGACATCCCATCCATGCAAGGGTATATATAATTTATGAAAATTATGAGCAGGTGAAAATGGTGGAAATGGTGAAAGACCCTCTTGTAATCTTGACAACATGCATACAACACCCCTCTCGACTTTCTGAAAGTTTTGAGAAGGTGAATACATTGGAAACGCATAAAAACTCTTCCACTCTCGACATCCCATCTACGCAAATAGAAAAAGGGGATATATCTTTTTTTGAAAATTTTGAGCAGGTGAACATGCTGGAAATGGTGACAGACCCTCCTGTAGTCTTGACAACATACATAGAACACCCCTATCAACTTTCTGAAAGTCTTGAGCAAGTGAATACCTTGGAAATGCCGAAGGACTTTTCCACTCTCGACATCCCATCTACGCAAATAGAAAAAAGAGATATACTTTTTTTGAAAATTCTCAGCAGGTGAACATGTTGGAATTGGTGAAAGATCCTCTTGTAGTCTTGACGACGTACATAGAACACCCCTCTAAACTTTCTAAAAGCACTGCGCTGGTGAATACTTTGGAAATGTCGAAGGACTCTTCCACTGTCGACATCACACCTATGCAAATATAAAAAAAGGATATATTTTTTCCTGAAAATCTCGAGCAGGTGAACATGCCGGAAATGGTGAAAGCCCTCCTTAAGCCTTGACAACAGACCTACGATGCCCCTCTTAACTTTGTGAAAGCCTTGAGCAGTTGAATACGTTGGAAATGTCGGAGGTCTCCTCGACTCTTTACATCTCATCTATGTACATACAAAAATTTGATATATATTTCTGAAAATTCTAAGTAGGTGAACATGCTGGAAATGGTGAAAGACCCTTTTGTAGTCTTGACAAAATGCAAACAATACCCCTCTAAACTTTCAAAGAGTCCAGAGCAGGTGAATACGTTGGAAACGTCGAACGACTCTTCCACTCTCGACATAGAGTACCCCTCTCAACTTTTTTGAAAATTCTGAACAGGTGAACATGTTGGAAATGGGGAAAGACTTACCTATACATTGCCCCTCTTAACTTGGAGACTATGAAACACCCGTGGACGCGTCCACGGGGCCGAGCTCGGAGGGTGGACGTATTCACGGCCGCCTCCGCGCCGCGGACCCGATTTTACCAGATTTTGCCTGAATTAAATAATAGGTTAAAATATATATACATATGGGGTTGTAGGGAATTTTAAGCCCTACAACCCCATATTTTTGTTTTCGAAATCCGACTTTGTTTATGATTTTTTAAAAATCAAAAACTAAATTTGATTTTAAAAAAATTAAAAAATATATATAAAAAAAGATGGATTTTTTTTTTGTTATTTTTTATCATCATATATATGGTCCCTGAGTTCACCTGTATTTTTTAGAAATGAATTTCTGTTTTTTGCAGGGATATGAGGTGTTTTAGAAAAATAAAGATGCAAAATTTAAAAATAAATAAACAAAAAACTTGAAAAAAAAGGTTTGATTGATTGATTGATTGATTGATTGATTG